GGAGCTCCCTATGGAGCCACGAAGCGCTGTAATGGGTGGGTGAAACGCAGAGAGGAGGGAGGAGAGGGAGGAGGAGGGAGGAGGAGGGGGAGGAGGAGGAGAGGAGGAGAGGAGGAGAGGAGAGGACGCGGGCACCGTCTCTTCAAAACGAGGACCCAACACCACAGGATGGTTGGGAAAAAACGAATCGGGCTCAGATGATTTGAAAGGCTTGGCCCCCTTGTCAAAAAGGGCCTCCAGCGAGAGCAGAGCTAGCAAGTAATGCTTCCTACCAACATGCATGTTACGAGAGTCGTATGTCACAGCTCCGTCGTACTTCTCATACGCAACAACTTGGGCACACGATGTCCACCCAAGTGCCTCGAGATGGTCCAACAGAGACAACGTGGGCCATTGCACTCTGGAGCCAGTACGCGCTGCAACCCGAGGATCACATAAATCCAAGCAGCCTTCAATATCGCTTGGCACTGCCTGCCATTCCTTCAAGTTCTGTCTACACTCAAACGACGCATCCATGAATTCAAAGAAATCGAACGGCCCTGGATCCTGGACAGGACAAGCGTGCACAACATCGGACTCCAATGGATTACCAACCCATCGCTCCAAAAATTGCACATGTATAACGAAGGAGTCCGTGTCGCTGGCTTGCGTGTTTACAGTACGCACAAGTTTTGCGCGGGCCTTCAAGCTCAACACCTGCATGTACACGCATGGAGGCTCGTCAACTTCATCGTCACCATGGCATTGGAGCGAATAGTAGCCGTACTGCACAAGCAATTTGGACAGATATTCTGCAAGCAAGCTCGCCTCTCCGACAGCAAATCCTTCGACGTGCTTTTTCTTGGGACCCCGCCGTGGCGCACCACCGCCACCGCCACCGCTACCTCCTCCTCCCCCTCCTCCATCGTGTGGCTCATCATCCTCTGGGCCACCTGGCTCATCATGTTCTGCGTCACTCAGCACGCCGTCAACATGTCCACCTGCACTCGGCCCTGCACCGTCATCGCCACCGCCTCCAGAGCCAGGCGCACTTGCGGGGGCTGCCATGCCATATCGCATGCAGCTCAAGTGCGTTGCCGTGTATGTTCTGGCAATAGCTCGAGATCGTCTCAGGCGAGATGGCGCCATGAGCGTAGAAGCTGCCCTTGGCGGTTGCAGCACTGACTTAGCGTTGGCCCAGTTCGTGTCAAGATTTACGTCTAAAGCGCTACAGAAACCACGGATGTCCTCAAGATTATTCTCGAGCCTGATGGAACTGGCGATCCAAGGAAAGGTGCCCCGCCGAGCTCGCAAGTGGTGGTGCCTAGCCACGGCATGGGGGCCCTCGGCAACAGTGTCATCCAAAGGTGCAAATCGAATGGAATCGATTTCTGCCTCCAGCTGAGGGCTGATGTTTTCCCCCCTCTCGTTGATGTTATCTACTGCAGCACGCAATGGCGACCCTGGTCTCATGATGGCCAGAGTCACGGAATCATGGCAACATTGCGGATGCGCATTGAACAAGTCAATGCATCTTGATTTCATGCCAGGCGTATGCAACCCCCCCAAGATGTAAGGTAGATCGTTCAAGAATTTGAGCTTCAAGGACCCGAGGGCGAACGTGCTCCTCGCCAAGCCTTGGGCTTGGCGCAACAGTTGCTGGTCGGGGCCGAACCTGCCCTCCATCCAAGCATTGGCCTCGTTCAGCCCAGCCCTCAACTTAGACATGCCGTGCTCGAAAGCAAAGCCTAGCACGCAACCAGATCGAGTGCAATTGATGGCCTCACCAGAATCCCACAGATGACGATGGCAGGGGCAGTGCCCTGCAAAACGGATTAGATCATTGAGCCACGAATTGGACCACATCATGACTTGGAATTGGAAGGGGAACGACTGACAACTCATGGCCCCAAGAACTATATCCAGACGGGTTTTGTCACGAATATCTCCAAATGCAGCTCTGGTGATGTGGCCCCTGGCCGACCAAATGAAACCGTCCAAGCAGGTCAGCACATGATAAAGTTTCTGCCACCTCCACTCCGCAAAACTAGGCACATTCGACACCGATACCACAAGAGCAGCTAGACCATGCAGTCCGTGTGCTCTCCAGTGCGTCTCTAAAGTGTGCCGTACACCCTGGGGCGCATATTCATTCACATGCACGCGCGCACCTAGTTTTATATGTACCACCTCCTACTCCTACTTCGTACTCCTACTTCGTACCTCCTGCCTCCAACCTCATCCCACCTCCTACATCCTGCTTCCTACTCCCCCCTCCCGCCTCCCACTGGCCTGGGAGATCCTTCGTCCTACCAGCTTCGAGGTACATACCAGTTGCAGTCTGCATCATATGCCACTCCTACCTCCCACGCCGTGCGTCTCACCTCGTCTGGTATGTTCCCCTCCTGTCTCGTACCTCCTGCCTTCGGCCTCTCACCGTTTACCTCCGAGACTTCTGCCAACCTCTTGACTCGTTCTTTCTACCTCCTCCTCCTCCTTCCTCGCACCATCGTCCGAGCTCCTACCTCTTATTTCGTGCACCCTACCTCCTATCTCCTGCCTGCCACCGCGAATGGATCCCAGGGTTCCCAACGTTTTCAAGGGGCGGCGGAAGGCTGGAGGTAGGAGGAGGGAGGAGGAGGGGCGTAAGAGGTAGGATGGAGACGCTGGCAATTGGGGGGTGGCGTGGATTCGAATGAATACGAACCTCATCTCTGAAGAGCGACGCCAACGCCTTGATCCTCACGAGAAAGCGTGGGAACCACACAAGGGTATTACAGCCGCACCTGATAAGATTATCCACCTTGTGCCTCCAGCCAGGAATAACAATGGCACGCGGCAACAACAGCTGTCGCCTGGCAAGCACAAACTTGGCGCCAAGACACTGATAAAAATCAGGCAGACAGTCGTTCATTTTGGCGACCATGTATTCTGTCCCCATATCGGAGACCACGCCACGCACGCGATCGAGAACTTTGCGCATGACAGTTGCATTGCCGCCAAACACCAAGTGAATCTGCCACAATAGCGCAGCAGTCTTGGCAAGTGCCGAAAGCTGAGTTCTCATAAGAAGAACTGGGGCAAACATCCTGGAAAGAAACTCTCGGCCTGCAACGCGGACACGGTACGAGGCAGCTTGCATCTCCCAGCCTCTGCCTTGCGGACTGGAATCAACATACAGGTAGATGTCAACCTCATTCCAATTCATTGTGAGGAATAGTTGTCTGGTCAGGCGCATGGCAGTCCAGTCTGCTCTGACCCTGGCCGTGCGCAAGGTCTCGTACCTGATCAATCTCAAGCTGCGCTTTAATTCGATACGATCGAACCGTCCACTCTCTGAGAACAGCCTGCTCCAAGCGATCGCGCCTTTAGCGGCGTGCCTGAGCGATCTCAGAGTGCAACTGGCATCCAGCCACGCCAAGACCAGAGAAGCATTTACAGAGTGGCGCCGTACTCCTGGCGCGACGCCTGCCTCAAGGGCTGGCAGGGCAGGCACGTGCTCCGCATGCCCTCGTCGGAACACTTTCAAGATAGAAGGCCGCGGCCCGAACCTCAAGGTTTGTTCCATTCGCTTCGTCACCACATCGCAGCAAAACAACACTTGCATCATTCCCATCAGGCTCACAGCGAACGATGGACATAGAACAACGGGTCTGCACACGGTGATGTCCCCATGCGCAACACGGATTTGCTCAACGTGTTCATCTCAGCTCCCGCACACAGCATCTCCCTCCAAAGATCTGCACATGCATATCTGCCCTTGCAGTGCGTCGAGGGCAACATTCAGGTTCACTGCATCGGGGTCGCAAGCGCGAGCCTCAAGCAACTCGATGCGTGTTACAGCTCTGTGCACCAGAACACCGTGACAAGCTTTACCTCGCAGTGCCGCCAACGATCTTCGCACAATGAGCTGATCGAGCTCACCAGGGAAGCGCCCAGAATCCCGCAGGGGGATCAGCTCCCAGTGGCCCAGGACAGCGCCGAACAGCCAATGCTGTCCGTCTTCAAAGCGGACGCCCTCGGCTCCCGAATACTCGCTGGCGAACGGGCCGCCGCGCACGCCGAAGACGAACCAGAGCCCGTCGGGCCCGCGAAGGATCTCTCGGCCCCGACGCCTCCGCCGGCCCGCCGCTGCAGCCACGCCGTCGCCGCCGACGGCCGCGCCCTCCGCAGGGGCCTCGTCGCCGACGACATCGTCGTCCATTCTTGCGACGCACACTGAGGAAACACAATTGTGCGAAGCCCGTTTGGGTCAAAACGAGTTTGGGCAGAAATGGTTACGGAGGAGGAAGGAGGAGGAGGGGGAGGAGGCGCACCCCAAACAGTGAGTGACACGAGCGGGCATTGTTCGGGGGGGAGTTGTGGAAGAACGGGGCGCTGACCCCTTCCCGTGGGTCCGTGCCCCAAGAAACGCCAGGACCCCAACAGTGGATTCGGCATTTCACTTGAGACATCCGCACACCATGCCACCCGTCATTTCGGACATTCTCTCAGCTTCGCATATGGTTGGCTGCAACGCTTGCAAATAGAAAGACAACCGCTTGAGACATCCTGACATTGTGACGAGCCACTCCGACCGAGCCCTCTACGCGTTGACTCGGCCACACGACCTGCGAGCGCAAGTGATAAATTCACGCCGACCAGCCCCGATGGGACGTGGTCATGTGGCTTGTAAGCAGGGACATGCAAACCTGGTGTGACCAACTCGCGATTCAGCGGGAACCCATTGTTGGATTTGATTGTGTGTTGCTTTTATTTGTTGGGGGGCGAGCAGGGGGCGGACTTCCGCATCGTTTACCATCGACGGTGAGTTGTTGTGCTTTTTCGTGTTCGCATTGTTCATCGTTGTTTGGCTGTTGTTTGAGATGCGTATTAGTAAGTTTAAAATCTCGTCATTGCTCTTAGCGCGCAGTGCTAAAATCCTAAGTTAAGGGATCTTTTCCCTTTTTATGGGAACCCCCCGTCGGTTCACATAACCCCATCCCATTGACGGGAAAGTACCCTTAACCCTTGGAGAGTGTCTAGCCACTGCCGAGGTCGACGAAGGCCGGCTCCGCGGCGAGCGACTCCGGCGGCGAGCACGCCCCAGCATGCCGGTTGCACTCTCTCTGCCCCGGCAGTGGGGTCGGGCTCGCGCAGGACGAAGGCGACGAAGCTGGCCAGCATGAACCAAAACGGCGACGCGAAGGAACGTACGTGCTGATGTCGGGCTCATGCGTGCTGCTGCCGTGCTTGCCTATCTTGCTGATGTCGTGCTTATCAGTGAGGCCCTGCTTGCTGATGTCGTGTTCGCTGATGTCGTGCTTGCCTATCTTGCGGATGTCGGGCATGTCGGTGATGTCGTGCTTATCTGTGCTGATGATGCTGTACTCGTGCTTGTTATTGATGTCGTGCTTTACGGGGTCGTGCTTGTCAAGAACGATATCTGTTGGCTTTGTCGGAGATCCCCTTCCCCTCGAGGGCCCGTCGGCCACATTGAACTCTGTGGGCGCCCACCTCGCGCACAGGTAAGACCCGGAAGCCAAGGACAGGGCAGAGATACGCTGCATGACCCGAAGCATCGCGCGTGAGTGAGCTCGCATGCGGGACGAGGCGGCGACAGCCGTCAGATAATCTCCTAGCACAAGGATCTTCTTGCCATGATTATTCGCATTCCGAAGAGCATGACGAAGGTGGTAGTGAACCGCTCTGGCTTCAAGGATGGGCATTGGTTCTGAACGGTCCCACTTCCTCCTTCCCGTGACAGTCCAAGCCGAGCGCTCGAGGAGACGTTTTGGGACCTCGGGGAACTCTGCTAGGTCACGCTCCAGAGGCGGGCCGACGGGCTCGGCTGGCAAGCCGTCGGCAGCAGGCGCGAAGGCAACGAGCCCAGGGCCGCCGGCGGCGGGGTCACCCACCTCAGCAGCGATGGCCTGGCCCAGCGCCCGCTGGCTGGCTGCCAGAGCGCGGCGCCGCGGCGGGAGCCTCTCCGCCCGCCCGAAGCGCCACCGCTCGCAGTAGCGCCCGACGGACTTGACCGCCTCGGGAGCCCAGGTGGACTGACAGGCGCCCAGGCCCCACGGCGACGCGTCGACCGCGCCCACGTCCAGCGACCAGCCCGCCTTCAGGTCACGCCAGAGGAGGGGTGCAAGCCCATCCCACACCGCGAGCTCGGTACGGACGCCGCCCGGGAGCGGGGCCTCCACGTGGTACGAGGTCTGCACGAACCTGAAGCAGGCCTCGAAGAGCGCGAGGCCCTCGCGCCGCACGAGCGTGATGAAGATGAGGTGGCCCAAGATGCGCTCGACATCAGCCCCGCAGCAGCGGCCTCGCCTGAGAAGGCACCTGACAGCGAGCCGCGCCCGCCACAGGCGACTCCCCGAGGCAGACAGCCTCCCCGAGGCGGCGATGTCCCAGCCAAGGACGTTGAAGGTGCCCTCGTGCTCCCCAGCGTGATCCTCGAGAGTGACCACCAGGCCGCGGCGCTCCAGCTCGGCCGCCACTCGCGCCACCGCCGCGCGGACGGCGTCGCGATCGTAGCCGAGGCTGACGAAGTTGTCCACGTACTGGAGGTGCCCGAACTCGCTGAGGCCAGGCGCGGGGCGCCCGTCGTGCAGCCGCTGCGGCTCAGGGCAGCCCGACTGCTCCGCGATGCGCTCCATGATGGACTGGCACCACCACAGCGCCCACGACCAGCCCATCGGCACCACCTTCAGCCTAGGGAAGAGCTTGGCCGTCGGCGCGACCAGGCAGCCCCCAGCGCTGGAGACGCCGACGGAGCCCGCCAGGACGGGCCGCATCACGAAGTACCTCCTGAGCTCGATGGGGAGCTCGAGGTGGTAGAAGGCGTCCTTCAGGTCAACGCCCTCCACGTTCAGGATGCCCTCGGGGTCGTCCAGCTCCAGGGCGGCGAACGAGCCCCCCGTGGGCAGGACGACGGGCGCGGGGTCGGCGAACACGACGTTACTGCGCCTGCAGTCGATCACCATCCTGAGGCGGCCCCCCCTTCTTTTCGACAAAGAAAGCGTCGACCCTCGCGCCGTCGTCCAGCGAGAAGTCGATCAAATTACGAGCATGCAAATCACGAACGAAACCCTCCCAGTCTCGCGCGCACCTCAGCCTAGGGTCAGAATAGGGGGTCTTGACAGAGCATGTGTCCAGTCGAGCGGCCGCCACGTCAGCCGGCAGCAAGCTCTGCTGAACAAAAAAGCTCGACCTTGGATATCCCGCCATCGCCCCACACGTCCGAGAGCGGCACCGGAGGCACCTTCCCGTCCGGCAAGGAGACGAGCGCGGGGTCATAGCTTCCGAGGGGCGACTCCTCGACGCTGTAGCCGCCCCCGGCCGCGCGAAGCTGCCGTAGCGCTTCTGCGGGAGTCAGATCTCGCGGAGGTGCACCAAGTTCCTCCACAGAGCTGCTGATGTGCGCCAGGCACCGGCGCTGGGCCAGCGACAGGGCGCCTGCTGTAAAACTTCGGTCCCGCCCGACATGAGTAGACGAGTCGTTCAACCAATTCAATGCACCCACGGCCCGGGTCACATCCCTCTCAAAACTGCTTCGCCGAAGGTGTCGTTGCTGAACGGCACGGCTAAGCCCTCGAAAGCCTTCGCCCCGCTGACGCTGGAGGTCATAAGGATAAGGAAGAGGAAAAACATCTCGAGGCACGCGACGACCCGGTGTGGCGGCGCTTGGGCCCGACGAGCGGCTCGGACCACTGCAGGATGGAGTTCGGCCAGCTGGGTCCCTGCTGCCCCCAGCGGCCGCGCCTTGTCTACCCATGCTTGCGCCTGGACTCGCGCTCCTCGCGTGTCAGGCGCAGGTTCTTTCTCAGCTTCCCCTCCCGCTCGAGCTCGGCCCGAACGTGCTCGATGAGGTCCGGGCAGATCATGATGGCGGTGTGGGCGCGGGTGACGCCCGAGAACGCGGCCTGCTCCTCCAGGGAGAGCTTGCCGCCGATCCCCTTGCTCTCCTGGTCCTTCGCCTTGTCCCAGTGGGCGAACTCGATCGTCTGCATCCTCCTGAACTTCGTCTCCACGGAGACCAAGTTCGAGCCGTCCAACATATCGATGCAGAGGGCCTGCTTGAGCTGCAGGCTGAGCTGGTAGTGCTCCTGCACGCCCCAGTCCGAGGCCGCCAGCTTGCAGGTCGAGCGGAAATGCTCGTGGTGGCCCTCGATCCCGAGGCCCTCATTCAAGATGTAGTCCATACACCAGTCCGCGGTGCGAGGGCCAGGCAGCCCCCAGTCGGACGCGTCGAACTCCTCACGATTGGTGAGCTCGACCATCGCCGACCAGGTGAGCTCACGCTTCCCCCGCTTGTTGCGCGTCACCGGCAGGATCCTAGCGTCGGCCCCCACGGCGCGCTGCAAGAACCCCGGCAGAGCCGCAGAGGTGACGAACTCCACAAAGAGGGCCTCGCCCGACGGCAGCAGATGCAGGTCCCGGTCGCCGACGCGGGAGGGCGTCGGAACGTGCTCCACGATCTCGTCGCCCACCCTGAAGTCACCGACACAGGCAGCCACACGCCACACGCCGTCGGACGCGTCAGCCACCGCGCCCGTCCGAGGCGCAGCCCCGGCGGCAGCGGCGCGGCCACGCAGCAGCCCCACGGCAGGGCCAGGCGGCGGCGCCGCCGGGCCCGCAGCGGCGGCGCCGCCAGGGGGGACCAGGACCTTCAGCCCGCGGAGCACCTGCAGGTCCCCGATGAGCTCAGCCCGGCGCCTGCACTCCTGACCAGCCACCTCCTCGGCCTCGGCAACCAGTTGGCGGACCTCCGCCTGGGTGGGCTCCTGCCTGAAGCCGTAGATGTCGGCCCGCCGCAGGCCGACAGGGGGCGTGCCGTAGGTGCCGAACCTCGTCGCCTGGATGTCTGGGTTGTCCTGCACCTGTATGATGTACATGTATCCGTCCGCCGTGTACATCACGTGATCGCTCCGACTCAGCGCGATCCTGCCTAGATTAAGGTGCTGGTGCCACTTGTTCTCGCCTGCGTACCAAACGTATACCCACTGGGTGGTCGCCATCCTGAGCAGCTCCCGCAGTCAAAGCGGGCACGGGCGTGGCACGCGATGGCGTCGCTGACGAGCGACGGCAGCTGCCCAGCCCGCTCGTGACCAGCGCCCCCACGAGCACCCCCACGAGGAACAGCGAGAAGCTGACCGTCCAGCAGCGGCACACCTGCTCCCCCGGGCAGGTCGGTGGCGGGGGGCAGGCCCCGCACGTCGGCCCCGGCGGCGGCGCCTGGGCCCACTGCGGCCCGCCCAATGAGTTGGGCAAGGCCGGGCAAGGTGGGATGCTCGGGCACACCAGGCTCACGTTGCAGCCCGCCGGGGCGGGGAGCGCGGGGCAGGGCGGGCAGCGCGACAGGTAGCTGACTACCCCAGCGCCGGCCACCTCCACGACGCGCCCCAGCCACGGAGGAAACATCCGGCCGCGCGGCCGGCCCTTGCGCCTTGAGCCCCCGAACGGCGGCGGATTGCGCAAATGAAAACCGTGCAAGCACAAATATGATGAGGATGATGATGGTGGTGGAACGACGATCAGACGATGATCTAAGCGATGATCCACCACGCGGCGGTCCTGAATCCAATCGCCGATGGTATGGAAGAGCATGGAGCGTAAGAAGGGAAACAAAATACACCTGCGGGACCGTCTTTCACTGCTTGCGGCATGTCTGCATCCGGTCGTAGAGAGATCCTCGACTCGTCTGGCGAGAACCATCATGGGCGGGCGGTGAGCGCGGAGCGTCTCGAGTAGCTGCAGTTCGAGCCATTCTGGCAACTTCCTGGCTTCCAGAACCAAGCGCAAGGCTGGCAGGCCCCTGTCTGGTGCAGGGTCGAGCCGTGACTTGGGGTCTCTGGCGGCAGCTCAAGACCGGGTGGGACAGGCATGACCGAGCCATCGGAGCTTCTGGCCCCAGGCGCCTGACGCTCGGCGGCCGCGTCGTCTGAGCTCAAGCTCACAGCCAACTCCTCAGCAGAGCCAGCAGCGGACGTGGACTCATCATTGTCGGACTCCTGCTTGCTGAGCGCCGCGACCACCTCGTCGCCGAAGGTCACGTTTCGGGTGCACTGGGCAACTTTAGGTGTCACGAGGCCTAGCCGCATCAGCGAGTGCTTGTACCTCTTTCTCGCCTTCAGCTCACCCCTGGGGCACTGGTGGCAATAGTCGCACGCCAGCCCAGCCTTGCAGCCGTCTGCCTTCCAGAACCACGCGCAGGGCTGGCACGTCCCCGTGCCTGGGCGGTCGCAAAGGCATTTGGTCCGCCACTCACCCGACCTTGCCCTGGGTGCGTTCGGACCATCTCAAGGAGAATCCAGCCGCGGCGACGAGGGCAATCCAGGACGAGCCGCGGTATCAACACCTCTTCCTCATCTGAGTGCCGTGCAACTGGGAGCCCCCAGCGGGGGCCAGCCCCGGCGGGAAAGCCAACTCACCGTCGCCGTCTGCCGGGCTCGCGGCCGCCGCGTTGCTCAGCCGGCCTGGCGCGGTCTCGCCGCCCAGGAGCTCGACGGTGATGCTGCCCACCGTCTCGCCCGAGTCCTCGGCGGCGGCCCGCGGTGGGAGCTTCAGGATTGGCCTGCAGGCGTCAGCTGGGCTCTCCGAGGGCCGGGAAGCCAAGGCTGCAACGTCTTCGGCGGGCTCGTCGCGGAAGCCGATCGTTTTAGCGGCAGCCTGGCTCTGCTGCCCGTTTGATGTCTTCGGCGTCTCGCCCATGAATCTGACGCGGCGGGGCTCCGACATCTCCTGGGCGCTGCCCCCTGCGGACTGCGGGGTGGCCAACCCGAGGCGGAAAAGCGTGTGCTTGGCCTTCTTCCGGGTCTTCAGCTCGC